GGGGGGGGCTGTCAGGGGGCAGGAGTAGGGAGAGGGATCGGAGCAGTCAATGGGACAGGGAGCAGAGGGGTTTAGATGGGTCGGGAGTTCTGGGGGGGGGCTGTCAGGGGGTGGGAAGTGGTTGGATGGGGCGTGGGAGTCCCAGGGGTCTGTCTGGGGGTGGGGGGGTGGATAAGGGTTGGAGTAGTCAGGCTACAGGTAGGGGGTAGGGTCCTAGGGGGCCAGTTAGGATGGGGGGAGGGTCTCAGGAGGGGGCAGTCAGGGGACAAGAGGCAGGGAGGCTTAGGTAGGGGGTGGAGTCCTGGGGGGCAGTTAGGGGCAGGGGTCCCAGGAGGGGGCAGTCAGGGGACAAGGAGCGGGGGGGAGGGTTGGGGGTTCTGAGGGGGGCGGGAAGTGGGAGGGGCGGGGCTAGGGCAGGACGGGGGCGGGGCTCCTCCCGTCCTCTTTTTTGCTTGCTGAAATATGGTAACCCTAGCCAACAAGAGAATGTAGGGGAAGAGGCACTGTCTAGAGAAAGGGCAGGTTCCACGTACTGATTAATCACACCCCTTGCGGGTTTTCCTGTAGAGGCAGCAGAGAAAGGTCAGATGCTCCATAATTAGGACATGGACCAAGATCCTCCTGTACGGAGTTAACGTTTTCATTGTCTTCCTCAGGGCTGTGTGCTCGGCCTTAGAGAAGCCATTCAAATCCTGGTTTCTCTCCTCACCTCCAGCAGGCATTGCATAATGTTTTATCAATACGGAGGGTGGAAGGGTTGAAGCTGCCACAGCTGCCAAAGGCTGTGTCACATCTACTAATGTAACACCTGCCAGAGGCATTGCTAACAGGACTGGCTCTGGGCAGGCCCCCTGTATTCCAGAGCCATGGATTTCACACTTGAAGGCAGAATTGGCTCTAGAATCTCAGGCTTGTTGACTGACCCACGAGATGATGATTCAGGAGGAGGTAGAGACAAGGCTTGACAGCCTGAGTGCAGTGACACAGTCAGCCTGGCCTGAGCAGTTTTGGAAGGGAACAGGACAGCAGGGAACAACTCCCTGCCAGCAGAGCTCCACCGGAGCCTGTGACTCAGTGTAGAGACTCGCCCTAAAATTTTAACTGCTCTGCAGTAGAGAATAGACAGAGTGGGAAGCTAATGAATTGTACTGAGGAGCTCCACAGTGGTCTGACAGCATAACGTAAACTCGCTAGGCACCTCGGCAATGCCCTCAGGTAGCGCCACCAACTCTGAGCTTGGCGAGTTCTTTCCAGGCACTCTCACCCATCGGTGGAATCTGCACATCATGACGGAACTCTTACGCCCAAGACAAAAGAGCGAGCAGCCTATCTTCCCTTGCATAAATATTAGCACACAGGAGAATACAGGCGTGTGATAGTCATATGGAACCCCAGTTTTACACTCAGTAGTATCCTTCCTTTCTGGACTTTATCCAAATGGTGAATCAGGCATTATTGCGTCAACTTGTGTGTTAGCAATAATTCCAACACAGAGAGCATTAGTCATGTGTTGTAAAGAACAGAGCTTCTAATACTCTTTTTATACCTTCAGAATTCCCCCGTTTCCTCTCCACTCCCACAAAAGCCCAACTCCAGAAGTGGTCCCAACTCCAGAAGTTTCAGTCCTGCATGGAACAACTGTCACCAGACCCATCAGCTACTTTATATATATATTAATGTCCATATTTATCATATATAATGCTCTCAGATCTCATTATTAACTTTAACATTTAGAGACATACCTGTGCTAACTCTGATCTAACTAGCTCGAACAACAATCGCAACAAAGCTGCGGCAGCAGAGGTGACAATACGGGCTAGCTGCTCCAATACATATGCAGGGCCATACAGCCTATGCTGCCACGGCTTCACTGCTGCGAATATTCAGATTACATAGATCAAAGATAGCTTGGGTATGTTTATATGTGCTGCAGTCACACCTCTGCTGCGTGGACGTTTACTGAAAAGTCTTCTCAGGGGCTCAGCCTGGAGGCAGTGTTATCACACTAATAAGAATTTACAACACTTTTTCCAAACAAGTGGATTTAAAAAAAACCCCACTTACATTTCCAAAAAGGTAATTCAACTACTATTTCAAACATGAACTTCACAATCCAAACACTCCACTTCATAAAAAAATAGGTGATCATTTTTAATGATTTTTATATAAAAAGAAAAATAATTTTATGATACAATTTGATATTCTACTTTGTACAAATTTTTGCTCACACATAGTATATTTGTTCACAAACAGTCCTAGTCGGATTTACAGATTTATGCAAGGCTTACATACGACCCTGAAGATCAACAGAACTTCTGATGGTGTATCCTGTTGAGAGTGTATAATTAAGACTAACTTCCAAGTGCCAATCAACACAGGTGGCTTAGTTCTAGCATAAACAAAGACTTGTATCTAATCTTTTAGCTTAACATTTTTGACCGATTACAAAGAAAGGCCTTAACTCCAATGTATCAGAGGTCTTGGTAGTTTTTTCATAGAGCCTTTTCAGGGAAAGCAACATGGCATCCTACTCAAAGGGATTATTTTGCTTATACACATTTGAAGTGATATTTGTAATATTCCTTAAAGAATGAATATTCTGCTCAGAAAACTGAACTGTGCTAAGACATCACCCCAAAACTCTCATTAGTGAGGAACCTATCTAGAAAAAATGAGTAAAGAATCAATCATTTAAAGCCAGCAAGTGCATGCTCACATGGTATAAACCTTGTTCTACAGACAATTTAGATTGATCAATTCAGTTACAGTCTAGTCTAGAGCTAACTGAAATGATGTACTGAACCAGTTTTAAGTCCCCAATGCTTCTTTAAAATTCCTATCAACAGTGACATACCAAGGTTGAAAATGGAGATTCATCCATTCCTCTCTCCTATAAAGAGCATCTAAAATGTCACATTTTGTAGCCTTTGAGAAACGTGTCTGAAAAGGTCAAGACGCCACAAAGTGCAGATTTGCTAACAGACAAATGTTTTCTAGTTTACACGCAATAAAAAAATGGAACAGAGGAGGTACTTGTACATTATAAAACCTTGAAAGAATGGTCTAAACTTTGGAGGAAGCTAGAATTCTCTGCATTTCACATTAAGTTTGGCTCAATGTACTTGTGCTAGAGGTCTGATCAGGCCTAATTTTTAGGCCCGAAGCAGAACCCATGAGGGTTGATTTGTTTTCCAACCTGACCCCATTCCACCCCTTCCCCATCAGCTGCATGCCCTGCTCTCGCCATCCGCCGCCTCTGCTGCGGTGTAGCGAGAGGTCCTGCCACTCCTTGGCAGGCACACTCACACTGGACTGCATTAAGGTGGTGGCATGTAGCCAACACCGCACCCAGGAGCAGTGGAGGAGAGCAGACCTGACCCCAGGAGGGTCCGGTTGTTTTCCCGCCTGACCTGGACCCGACACTTGTAGTTGGGTCCCGACCGGGTTGCAGGGCTCTAATTTGTGCCACATTTGAATATGCTTTTCAAATTCATGAACATGCAATGCTGGGCCCTTACACACAGTATGCTGGAGAGGTCAGCAGGAAAACACGTCGACAGTTAACTAAAATCATTGGAATTATTCATGTACAAAAAACGTACATGAACATGCATTTGGGAGGAAATGGGTACTTTAATGAATCCTTTCCAAATGAATGTATGCAATAAAAATGGAATTAACACCTGTGCATATAAAATACTTTAGATCCCTTCCATGGTGATACTTGTACTAAATTTTATAGGCCCCCTAATAAAATTCCTTGAGAGCTATGGAAATATGACATCACCCTTGTGACGATATAAGGAGCCATCTGATAAACAATATTTTATTTCTGGAGCTGTAAAAGCATTTACAGATTTCTTTTCAGGACTTGTAAATCATTGAAAGTATTGCAGACCATTCTGATCTGTAGGGATTTCAGAACTTTCTGCAAAAAAGGTACTAAATACCATTTTTCATGACATCATGGTAGCCCGTTTTTGCCCAAAAGTAACCAAAATGGGTACACAGTAGGAAAAAAGGGGCAAGCTTGAGCAGAAGATAGTTATAAAAAGGGGTCAGGGAGGGCAAGTGGGTTATAAATAGCAAATAACTGTATCATAGCAGCCTATGTCTAAAGACACTTAAAAGAGATACTTTAAAAGCTCTAGAAGATATCTGAATTCATGTAATTTGACATGGATAATACCAACCTCACAAGTAAATTGAATGTAATGTGTATAAACTAATATGAAATTTTATAGGCCATTGTTCTTAGGCGCTTTATTTGTACAGTTTCTCTTCATTCTTTTCCCTTTTCTGTCTTTATTTGGTAAGAATATAAGTTCATCCTTCTTTTCACCTTCTCGTAGATAAGTTAATGTTGAGAACCATCTTCCGGATTTTTTCTTCCTTCTTTAAAATATTAGCCTTTACAGTACAAATCTTGTCTTGCTGGTCTTTAATCAACTGTTCCAACTCAGCCAGCTCTGCTTTTAAGGGCTCCACAGCGCTGTCTGTGATGCTGAAAGAGACAAGCAGTACGCTACATTTTAGGGGAATATTACACTGTTTTGCATTATTTATGCCTCTGAGACAGTACATGAAATACTTGGAATTTGCAAAGAAGTTTTAAATCAAACCCACCCTTCCTGAAACAGACAGAATTAGTGAGACAGCTGAAGGGAAAATGAACACAGAAGTAGATTGTCGAAGAGCTACCCTCAGGGACGGCTCCAGGCACCAGCGCAGCAAGCAGGTGCTTGGGGCGGCCAAGGGAAAGGGGCGGCACGTCCGGCTCTTCGGCAGTGGGTCCCTCAGTCTCTCTCGGAAGGAAGGACCTGCCGCCGAATTGCCGCCGAAGAATGAAGCGGCGGCTGTACAGCTGCCGAAGTGCCACCGATCATGGCTCCCCCCCCCCCCCCCCCCGCCACTTGGGGCAGCAAAAACACTGGAGCTGGCCCTGGCTACCCTGATGTTTTACCACACGATTTACTGGCTAATGGTGGTTTCATATCTAAAACTGCTCTCCTGCTAAACTTTGTTTACTTTATGATTATTTCATCCTCCCAGCCCACCTTACCCTGTTTGTCTATTTCATCACCTCTTGCATCCTGTCTGACATGTAGAGGGAGAACTCTCTGAGGCTGGGATTGTGGTGCCTAGGCAAGGTGGCTCCAATCCTCGGCTGGGGTTCCTAGGCACTACAATACCAATAGTGCATAATGATCACCCCCCACACAATGAACTTCTCAGCGGGAGAAGCTGGTTTGCACAGACAAGGAGATGGGGAAGTTGAAGCTATGCCAGAGGCTCAGACATAGTTCAGTGACAAGAAAGGAAAGTTCTCCTGGCAAGGACTGACAGTCTTTCCACTGGCAGCTAACCTTGGAAAGGAAAGAACTCAGGCAGTTGGGGACCACATAGCCTCTTTGTAACCTCAGCCCAGAATGTTCAGTGCTACAAGGGGTCACTTGCACAGCTATAGACCCATTTCCGAGAAGGCTCCTGAAGTTCAGTGGCACCAGATTGCACGTACCATAAATGGGAATATGCTGCCATGAGGCTCAAAGAATTGTAAACTATTAGCTGCAAACCCGGGCAGGGATCGCACTGCAAAGGGACTTATAGATTCATAGATTCTAGGACTGGAAGGGACCTCGAGAGGTCATCGAGTCCAGTCCCCTGCCCGCATGGCAGGACCAAATACTGTCTAGACCATCCCTGATAGACATTTATCTAACCTACTCTTAAATATCTCCAGAGATGGAGATTCCACAACCTCCCTAGGCAATTTATTCCAGTGTTTAACCACCCTGACAGTTAGGAACTTTTTCCTAATGTCCAACCTAGACCTCCCTTGCTGCAGTTTAAGCCCATTGCTTCTTGTTCTATCCTCAGAGGCTAAGGTGAACAAGTTTTCTCCCTCCTCCTTATGACACCCTTTTAGATACCTGAAAACTGCTATCATGTCCCCTCTCAGTCTTCTCTTTTCCAAACTAAACAAACCCAATTCTTTCAGCCTTCCTTCATAGGTCATGTTCTCAAGACCTTTAATCATTCTTGTTGCTCTTCTCTGGACCCTTTCCAATTTTTCCACATCTTTCTTGAAATGCGGTGCCCAGAACTGGACACAATACTCCAGCTGAGGCCTAACCAGAGCAGAGTAGAGCGGAAGAATGACTTCTCGTGTCTTGCTCACAACACACCTGTTAATACATCCCAGAATCACGTTTGCTTTTTTTGCAACAGCATCACACTGTTGACTCATATTTAGCTTGTGGTCCACTATGATCCCTTTCTGCCGTACTCCTTCCTAGACAGTCTCTTCCCATTCTGTATGTGTGAAACTGATTTTTTCTTCCTAAGTGGAGCACTTTGCATTTGTCTTTGTTAAACTTCATCCTGTTTAACTCAGACCATTTCTCCAATTTGTCCAGATCATTTTGAATTATGACCCTGTCCTCCAAAGCAGTTGCAATCCCTCCCAGTTTGGTATCATCCGCAAACTTAATAATCGTACTTTCTATACCAATATCTAAGTCGTTAATGAAGATATTGAACAGAGCCGGTCCCAAAACAGACCCCTGCGGAACCCCACTCGTTATGCCTTTCCAGCAGGATTGGGAACCATTAATAACAACTCTCTGAGTACGGTTATCCAGCCAGTTATGCACCCACCTTATAGTAGCCCCATCTAAATTGTATTTGCCTAGTTTGTCGATAAGAATATCATGCGAGACCGTATCAAATGCCTTACTAAAGTCTAGGTATACCACATCCACAGCTTCTCCCTTATCCACAAGACTCGTTATCCTATCGAAGAAAGCTATCAGATTGGTTTGACATGATTTGTTCTTTACAAATCCATGCTGGCTGTTCCCTATCACCTTACCACCTTCCAAGTGTTTGCAGATGATTTCCTTAATTACTTGCTCCATTATCTTCCCTGGCACAGAAGTTAAACTAACTGGTCTGTAGTTTCCTGGGTTGTTTTTATTTCCCTTTTTATAGATGGGCTCTATATTTGCCCTTTTCCAGTCTTCTGGAATCTCTGCCGTCTCCCATGATTTTCCAAAGATAATAGCTAGAGGCTCAGATATCTCCTCTATTAGCTCCTTGAGTATTCTAGGATGCATTTCATCAGGCCCTGGTGACTTGCAGGCATCTAACTTTTCTAAGTGATTTTTAACTTGTTCTTTTTTTATTTTATCTGCTAAACCTACCCCCTTCCCATTAGCATTCACTAAGTTAGGCATTCCTTCAGACTTCTCGGTGAAGACCGAAACAAAGAAGTCATTAAGCATCTCTGCCATTTCCAAGTTTCCTGTTACTGTTTCTCCCTCTTCACTAAGCAGTGGGCCTACCCTGTCTTTGGTCTTCCTCTTGCTTCTAATGTATTGATAAAAAGTCTTCTTGTTCCCCTTTATTCCCTTAGCTAGTTTGAGCTCATTTTGTGCCTTTGCCTTTCTAATCTTGCCCCTGCATTCCTGTGTTGTTTGCCTATATTCATCCTTTGTAATCTGTCCTAGTTTCCATTTTTTATATGACTCCTTTTTATTTTTTAGATCATGCAAGATCTCGTGGTTAAGCCAAGGTGGTCTTTTGCCACATTTTCTATCTTTCCTAACCAGCGGAATAGCTTGCTTTTGGGCCCTTAATAGTGTCCCTTTGAAAAACTGCCAACTCTCCTCAGTTGTTTTTCCCCTCAGTCTTGATTCCCATGGGATCTTACCTATCAGCTCTCTGAGCTTACCAAAATCCGCCTTCCTGAAATCCATTGTCTCGATTTTGCTGTTCTCCCTTCTACCCTTCCTTAGAATTGCAAACTCTATGATTTCATGATCACTTTCACCCAAGCTGCCTTCTACTTTCAAATTCTCAACGAGTTCCTCCCTATTTGTTAAAATCAAGTCTAGAACAGCTTCACCTCTAGTAGCTTTTTCAACCTTCTGAAATAAAAAGTTGTCTGCAATGCAGTCCAAGAATTTGTTGGATAGTCTGTGCCCCGCTGTGTTATTTTCCCAACATATATCTGGATAGTTGAAGTCCCCCATCACCACCAAATCTTGGGCTTTGGATGATTTTGTTAGTTGTTTAAAAAAAGCCTCATCCATCTCTTCCACCTGGTTAGGTGGCCTGTAGTAGACTCCTAGCATGACATCACCCTTGTTTTTTGCCCCTTTTAGCCTAACCCAGAGACTCTCAACTCTTCCGTCTCCTATGTCCATCTCTACCTCAGTCCAAGTGTGTACATTTTTAATATATAAGGCAACACCTCCTCCCTTTTTCCCCTGTCTATCCTTCCTGAGCAAGCTGTATCCATCCACACCAACATTCCAATCATGTGTATTATCCCACCAAGTTTCAGTGATGCCAACAATGTCATAGTTGTATTTATTTATTAGCACTTCCAGTTCTTCCTGCTTATTACCCATACTTCTCGCATTTGTATATAGGCATCTAAGATACTGGTTTGATCTTTCCTCCCGGTTTTGTCCTGACCCTCCTTTCTCTCTGCCAATATAGCCCACACTCCCTCTCGTCTCCGACCCATCTCCCAGGTCTCCATGTTCCCCTCTTACCTGCGGGCTTTGCTCACCTGACTTCTCCATTACATGAATTGAGATGTTTTATTTTAAAACAAATATGCACCCTTCCTAAATGCTTGACTTAAGGTCCTACAGTTAAGGCAGTGCTGGACTGAAGTGCCTTGTAGCAGTTCAGAATTACACACGCACTCCCTGGAGTCATCATTTAGAAGTTCATATTTCATAACCTTTCAATTCTCCTTCCCTTCCACAAATCACAAAAAATTATCAATGAAAATTGCACTTGGATTTCCCCAATGGGACCCATTAATTGTCTTCCACAGAAGTAAAGAAAACAACACTGTGCATCCAAGTTATACTACATATGGGAAACATTGTCTTCTTCATGGCTGATACGGAGTAATTTTTTCCTGAAAGATGTGAACTGCCATAAAGTTATGATGATCTTATTAGGATTTCACAATGAATCTGGCAAAGAACATATTGTTGCAGAGTTTTCAATTTTTTATTTCTTCTTTATGTGCAAACTGAATGGCTATTACGAGGAGATGTTAGTCTCTCCATTGTTAAAGTAGAAGCCAGCAGGGTGGATTGATTTAAACAAACAATTTAAGTCACCAGTTTTAATCATGATTTAAATCAGCAAGCAGAAAACTTTGACTGAAATCTTCAATTTTAATTGTTTTGCATTTGTGCTTTTTATTTATTTTCCTAAAGAAAAAAGTTTATTCTCATTAGCTGGTAACCATTAAAACATGATGATTTACAACTAAATATAACCTATACACTAAATTTGGTGCTTCTTTTTGTTAACCAGGAGGATATACTATATTATATTTAAGCAATTTTACAGCTTAACTTACATTTATTAAAATTCCTAATTTCTACATTTTTATTATGCTAGGAAATGGGTAATGATGCATTTCTTATTTACTAGATGATTAATGTTTTACTTGTGATTTCTGTCAAGCTG